CATGTAGAAAAGCCAGTCTTATCGATAACTCAGTTATGTATTATTTTTAAATAACATTTTTCAACGTAATTTTTAATTTAAATGCTAAATATTTTTATTGATCAGTCCTATTATTGAAGAAAATATAAGGATAAATAGAATTTGAAACACTCGACGATCTTTCATTTAATAGTATTAGTCTCTAGGGTCATGAATACTTTTAACTTTTATTTTTTTCTCATTTAACCAACTCCTTTACTTTTCGTAACAATGACAATTAATTTAAATTCGGTCGTATTACTTACACAGTAAAGTGTAAAGGGTAAGTCGTAAAGTTCTATTCTTTACCTAAGTCAAAAAACAATCATTCATAATACTGATCTAATAATAATAAATGTTTTGGTAGCATTAAATTATTAGTAAAAATATTTCTAAGCAACATTTTTACTCTATGTAAATAGATCTTTATTTAGATACTAAGAAATAAGTACTGTCTAATACCTTCCAATGTATAAAATAATCAATGTGGTAAGAGCTGTTTTAAAGGCATTTTTACAAAGTATGCAATATTCAATTTCTTAAGAATATTTTTTTATAATAAAAAAACAACATTGTGGTCCCCAAGTCATCATCATCATTATCGTAATAAACATCCAATACCCTGTAGAAAGGAATGCAAATTATTTGTTATCATCCTATACCTACATGGCGAAATCAACAAGATTATACCTTGTCAATTGCATTTTGTAAACAGGGTTGTCAAGCTTTAAAAATTTAACGTTATACGGAAAAACGACAAATATAATAAAGTTTCGTATACTAGCTCAATTTGTCTCTCTAATCTCATACATCATAATATTTTGAGTAATTTTAGTGGGTCAAAATTTACAAAGTTGTACAGTGATGAAAATGTCTTCATACCAAAGTCCAAAACTTGTGTATTTGTACGAAGATTGTTGTACGTTTGGTATCCCTGCGAATATACGTAACGTAGCAGGTATCTACGTCATGAAATTCACAGCGGCCCTCTAATGAGGGACCTCCGACATTTCTTTTCGGCTCCCTTCTAATTATGGAGGGAACAAAGCCTCTGTAAATTAATACGAGGTCGACCTAACTAAATTTGTGTTAATGCAACAAACCAAAGAATTTATCTCTGTACAGGTTTTATATTATGATTAAGGACTGATAACGGAATTCTTTTACAATTTGGATGTAATTTGCAACCAAAAACTATGTTGTGGCGATCAGACGTGCGGGATGTTATTAAACTTAGTTACTCAAGCGAATACATAGTATCCTAGCAAATATTTGTTTTAACTACACTCACCCAGTCCTAGAGGAACATTAAGCTTTAATGCAGCCTACCGGCTAAGCATCAGGCATCAGGATTTTAGTAAAACAGTTAGTCCACACTGCTTGAGCGGAGTCCACGCGCTTCACCAGCGAATCTGTATGGTACACGATTTTAGAACTATCAAAAGTACATTTAAACCACCAAAATACAAGAGGAGATGATAGAATGAGAATGAGAAGATGTATTTTTAAAGTGTGTATCTTTATATATAAATAACCACATGCTACTGATGTTCATAATGTACTGATTCAATAACAAATATGAATAGTGCTAAGACGCCATATGTCGCCTGCGTTACTCCTCATGCCTTGCCATTTCAAAGAACTTTGGTGGCATGGTTGCATACCCTGCAATTTCATTGCCATATTACACTTCTCAAACAGCATACCGCTTACAAATGAGTTTGGCGGCCACAAAAGAATTAAAAGTAGGACGACTTTGTGCGGTCTACCTAAAAGATGATAGACAGACCAGCGTATCATAATGATTACCATATACATACCATACACATATAGATAGAAAAACACATCAAAACTCAGACTAAAAATGCATTTTACCTTTTCCTGGTTGACATCTAAGATATTACATTTTATTATTAAAAGTGACTGAAATTGCTTTCCGAATGTGGTTGTAGTACCAATTAGTATAGAAATATGATTTCAAGTCCTGGCCCCCAATTTTTTTTTGTATTTAATATACGATTTTAATGTTAAATTGATACTCGAACTATCAGTGGTTTTATATTTGGCGTAAGACCAGTTATTTACTTATTCTTGCATTTTCTGGTCGTCCTTTCTATTTTTCTCCTGTTTTTCTACTCCTCCCATTTATAGATATTTGAGGGAAAATATTAACAAAATTTTTCCACAAACAGTATTTCTTCATCTGTATAAAATAGCGAGGACGAGATCTAAATAATTGTCTACCTATAACTTATAGAAAAAAAAAAACAAAATGTATCAGTTACGTCCACGACGTTGCATGTGCTCCACTATCAAGAAAATTGGTATTTTCGTGTTCGGAGACGATTATGATAAACAGTTTGCACTCCACGTTGGCATGGATTGATCGATCGTTGGTATTCAAGTTCATTGCATATTTATTGGAACCGCTTAACTTGAAGCGATCCAAGATAACAGTGTATTGAGCTATGTAAATTGAATTCTCCAACCGATTTTCAGATAGATCGGGGCAAATGAAAGGCCACGTTGCATCACAATCGCATCGTAAATATTTTATAAGTTGCTGTTTTCGTCTTCTAGTTTATTTGTTTACTTGCAAATTTTGATACAGTTTTTAACATAATTTACAGATTTTTTTCCGAACGGTTTAGTAGCGTAGTACATGCATATAGTTATAAGAAGCAGAAGCAAAAGCAACTTGCTAGTTTTAGTGTTAAATGTAAATAGTTGAGTAAGATTTATTTCGTAGGCTATTAGTTTACTACCCTGATGTAGAACTAAAAGGGTCAAGTTTTGAATCTGGTAATTTATATTTCTGACTGACTCTCCGGTTGAGGGGGGAGGGGATCGTTAGCAATGGGGACTAGGGACCCTTATTGCTAGCAATGTTAACCTTGTAAGATCGACTTCCACATCGTCAATTTGTCACGATGGGTTAATTGTTCTGACCTTATGTTCATCTTATTGTCCTCCACTGGTGCCCCGCCAGCGTACACAATTAAGCGTATTCAATTATAATGAACATTAATTTAAAAAAAGCTGGCCGGTTGATGTAAATTTCGATAGCAAACTAAAATTACAGACGTCATGCTATAAATAATGTGATGCAACTCTGGAGTTCAAGTAATTCAATAACTGTGTTCAAATGCGGGAAATTTGAAATCACGTAAAATGTTGAGGGTTTTCAGCACGTCGAAACCTCATATCTCAGAGTATCCCATTCCTTGTAAATTTCCCAGGAATTAATATCGGCCGCACGTGCCGTGGACTGAATTCAATCGGGCTCTACTAAATTTTGGCATGGCAGCCTCTTAGACGCAACGTAATATATTTGGCGCAATTTCCACTTGGTCAACGTAAATTGGTCCGTTCCTTTAATAATGATCAAATAATTACGTTCCATTTCGTATTATGTTGGTAAATAATAACAATTTATTATATATCATTATACGAGACGTGCTTTGTTATTCTTCTTCACATATGAATATGTACGTAAAGCAAATATGTACGTAAAGCAAAAACTTTGTACCCATTTTTACGAAAATTGCGCGGATGGAGGTATATAAAATTTCTGTAGAAAAAGAGCGCAAAAAACATTTTTTTTTAAATTATATATTTTAAAAAAAACATTACATACACTACCATATATTGGCCACATGCACGCATATGTCAAATTGAGAATAGATTTGTTTGTCCTTAATAACATATTATTAGCATATAGTCTTACTGAATGTGAAACCTAACCGTTATTTAGATTAATTTTGCTCGAATTTCGACTATTGGGCGACCATTAGTAATAATAATTTCCACCAGATTCTAAAATTGCACTAGAAGATCTGACATTTGGTATTTAAGTAAAATAATGTGGAATTCTGAAATAAATTTAATGAACTCAAGTTCATTTACAAAATGTAAAAAGCCATAGGAATGAGAGCCGTCTGAGAATGGTCCTCACAGCTTCATTCGAATGTCAAATGCAGATACTTAAAATAAAATTAAATACGTACTTCCCTTTTAACATGTTTTAGTAAGAAATTACGGCCCTTGTGTTAGGAGCCGAGCCGAGGGTAATTATCAATTGAAAAGAACTCCAAATACACAAGAGTATTTTTAAATTTTTCTTCTATTTTATATTACTAGTAGCTGTCCCGGCAAATATGTTTTGCCATATAAATTAATATCGCTATTAAGAAATATGGGTTGATGGTAGAAGAATATGTGTATTTTAAAATGCCACGTTTTATAGGTAAAAAAAAATTGTCCAAAAAATATAAATAAAATGTTAGACAACCCTTATCACTTAGAATTATCAAAAATAGATAGTAATAGATTCTCAGACCTACTGAATATGCATATAAAATTTCATAAAACTCGATCAAGCCATTTTGGAGGAGTATGGTAACTAACATTGTGACACGAGAATATACATAAAACAGTAGACCTAATCTTTACAAATTTGTCTGCGTGGATGGGTAACTTTCTGGAGATGGTATGAGAATGTGAATTAATTTGTTTATTTAACTTTAATACTTCACAAAAGTTAATAATGGAGTAGTATAGGCTCTATTATAGGAAGGAAAGAGAGGGTTATTAGTAATGGATGTGTTTTAGCGAATATTTTTATTGTTACATCAATTGTCTAATAATACTGTGTTATTACGACTTCAAACAGTAGGCAAATTAATGAGTCAGGAATTGGATTGAAGGATTGGAAACAAATAACTGATAATAGTTATGGAATTATCCTTATTACTGCGTATTTTAGTAACGTCGTTTAAATTTTTCATATTCTCATTCTGTTATTACGTACTTGTCTATATATAAATTGTGTGTACGCTACAAAACAGCCGATTGATATATGTTTTTTTGTGGTGTGAGAACACTTAACAATTATTATATCGTTCGCTATGTTAATATATCACTTTGATTAGATAGCTGTATTCGTATCATTACAAATAGCTTATCACTTTGTGCTTGTAACTCGTGAGCTCCATTTGTCAGCTAAGAAATTATTGTGAAACATATTGTGTAAAAGAATTTTTTGAAATTATAAAACATGGATGAAGCAGATGCATTACCTTTTCGTCTTCCAACGATGAAATCTAAGTGAGTACATTTTAATTGGCCATTATTAGTTGTTAAGGCATATGGATAGTTAAAATTGTATGTTGTTTGTATTTATTTTGATACCGTCTATTACCTCAACTTAGGGCCCAAGACCGTGAGTTCAAATTTGGATTATAAACAACGACCATATTGTTTATAGACCCACTTGAATCTTTCTCCATATATTTGAATGTTTATATTGAAATATGATATTAGAAATCTTTTATGGGACAAGAACAGTTATCATATTAAATTTGATTAACTGAGACTATTACTTTATATTTAGTTTTTAATATTCATAATTTGTTTCATACTTTTAGACACACTTGTTTCCATAAAATATAAAAAAAATCATTGATAGTCTAAAAATAATCTTCTTGCACGAGTAAACTATAAGCCTCGATTTTACAATCTACCTAGGTAGAGACCTAGGTAGACTGTACGTACTAACTTGTGTGTTCTCTCAGTATCTGTCGCCGAGCTTGTTTTGTAACTATTTTAATTTGAATGATGAGATTTGGCATTGAATTTACATGGAATGGTACGGAAGACATGTATTAACATGTTGCGGAGAATTATCTCCGGAAATGTCAAAATCATAGCTCATACCTAAAATGAATTGCGCAAGATTTTAACATAGAACTAATTTGTTATATTGACTTTTATTCTTGTTAAGTAACCATACCTTTTTATTTCGACATTTCTGTTTATAATTAGTTATTTATATTAGTACATTATGTATATTTGAATATATTATTCTAATGTACACGTTTTTTGGTTCCTATGATTGAGTGGTAAAGGTCACCATCGTATTTATTGTGAATTCTTGTTTACAGATACTGATGTAAACGTAATTAGTTATTTAGAACATTCATACAAAGTTAGCTTACTTTCGTCTGTATTATTTACCAGCTAATCTTTAGACATGAGTAGAACGGGTTGTTGTGGCAAAAAACTGTAAAAAAATATTATTCTACTAATGACTTCTTCTACAGACCTACTGATGAAAAAGAAGCGGAGGAGAAATGTAATAGACGCCGGTTCGACCCGAACGCTTTATACTACGACATGTCCGGGGACAAGCACTTGCTCATATTCAACCATTATGCATATCAATCTACGGTGTACTTCAGGTGAGAATTTTCTAAAAATTACTAAGTGTTTTTTTTTTGAGGGTTTTGGGCTATTGTCTAGTGTTACGACCTGTAGCACTGCGACCTACATAGATCTTTTATGCTCGCCCCTTTTCAAAATTCTCTACAACTCTTCCTTGAGACAAGAATTGAAAGATATTCTTTGGAGCGTTGGTTTTTATACCCTCAGGATATAGTGTATACTTTCCAAAGGAGATATTTCCTTTATACATGAGTGGGCTACAACCACATAGGATGTGTAATGGCGTTTCTTCTTCTGCTTGGCAAAATCTGCAGATTGTTATCTGAGGCCTAATTTTGCCATGTATTTATTCAATTAGCAGTGTCCAGTGAGGGCCCTAGTCATGATGCATATATTTTATTGCTCAATAGCAATAGATTATTGGAGTATTGATTCGAGTAACCTCTTATTGGGGCTTTTCGATATACTAATCCTGGCATATTCTGCCAGTGATTCAGTGCTTCCTGTTTGTTTATTATTTTGAGAAGTCCCAGTTTTAGGCAACGAGGCATACCACAGAAGGGTTCAGGGCCCTGTTGGGCAGTTTTTACTGTGTTACAATTTACAGTCTTCTAAAAAATCTTGCCTGTCAATAACTGCAGTAAGTTCTATACTAGAACGTGTATTTAAAGTTGCACTAGCAGACTCCTATCGAATTTGGCTGGGCAGGGAGAGAAATAAGAGCGCTGAAGGTGTTTTTGACATACAACAGCAAGGCGCCCCTTAAACCTACACCCGGGGCACAAGTTACGGAAACTACTCTGAGTTTGTCTTTCTGTCACATGATGGACCCTACTCCAGCATGGTGAATCCATGGAACGCTAAGAAGTTTGTTTCTTAGCATCCATGTAATAGGGTTTTATGGCAACGCATGGTGGGCCCTTTATAAAGTAGTATTCGTGGGTACCTCTGTCTGACCTGCTTTGTAAGAAGACTTGAGCTGGATTAGTAAGATGTTTGTATTGAAGAGTGAGGTACAGCAGTGAAATTTTAGGATGTGGAGGATGAAGTCCTTTGGAGTAGCAACGCATGAGTGGTATAGCGGGTGTCACATGATAACGTGATGCCCGTAATGCTGTTCATGTATATAAGATTCCTTAAGGGATGGCAACGCGACATTCCTGATGTTTTAGGCGTCCATAGGCTACGGTAACCGTTTACCATCAGATGTTAATAAAAAAAAAACTCAGGAGAATTCACCCAGCGCATTTAGACCTAAGTTAAGCTAGCTAAAGCTTGATACATAAATGTTTTGTTTTTCGTAAATACATGCATATTATACATAAAAAACATCCAGAACGACAAACAATCATACACATGAATACAAATGTATGTGTCGTTCGAGGAATTGAACCCGCGACGATCGGAAGTAAGACGGTGTGTTAAACCGCTAAATAACCGACGCTGTCGTAATTGTGTACTTTTATATATAATTTATCCTACAATAATGTATGTACAAACAAATTATATGACCATAATATTAATTTCAGAAATAAAAAGCCGTCTACACGAAAAGGTACATTCGGTGATGTGGAAAGACTGAACAATGTGTTTAAATCTCTAAACTTCAAAGTGGCGAGTTACACAGACTTATATTATAGTAACATAAAAGAGAATATAAATGCCTGTACGTATGACAATTTTTTTACACATAACACACTTCTTATATTAAACTCTAAACGTTGTAAAATTATCATATCCATACTTCATCATCTGCTTCTTCCTTATCCCATCTATTTGCGATCGGCGTAATATTTTTCTCTTACATTCATACCTGTTCGCAGTCATCTCATTATTTACTCCCTTTCTTACCATATCATGTTTCACACAGTCCATACATCTCTTTCGGCCTTTTATAAGGGCAGAGACTCTTATAAACATCCACATTCATATGACCATATCTTAAGGAAGGTGTATGAATGACATACACCTTCCTTAAGATATGGTCTTCATTCCTATGTATTATCCATATCCCTACTTCTTACTAATATTATAAACGCGAAAGTTATGGATGGATGGATGTTTGTTACTCTTTCACGCAAAAACTTCTGAACGGATTTTGATAAAATTTCACAGTAATATAGTTTATACATCGGAATAACACTAGGTTATAAATTTCATGCTGGTAAAACAGCAGGCACAGCTACTAATATTATAAAAAGTGTATGTTTGTCTGTTTGTAACCTTTTCACGGTTGAACGTCTAAACGGATCTTATTGAAATTTGATGTTAAAATAGATAGGATCATGAGGATGGACATGTCGTAACTTTTATCTTAAGAAAAGCAAACTATGTTGCAAGTAATAGCTAGTTTTATGCATGAAAATCTCTCATCACGGTGTTTGTTACCAATGTTTGTAACCAATTTTTATTATATTTTGGCTGTCAGCGTGGGATTTGGTCAAACTTATAATATGAACAACTGAAACCCTATCTTAACCAGTTCTATATTCATGATAAGCGATTCTCAATATTTTGTTATTGCGAATTTGAGGTCTTTTATTCTGAATAAATAATAATACAATGGATTTTCCAGTGTATTATTATTTATTCAGTGCTTTATTCGAATAAATTTAAGAACTTTTGAATAGACATACTTATTTTTGTAATCTTCTATTCATTCGGAAAGCTCATCACAAGAAAAATGAGCGAGAAACTTGCGTGTTGCTCTTATAAATAAATAAAATACGAACTGCTAAACACCATTAATTCGCTACAATCAAAATCTTAAATACACAACTGGTTTAGTTACTAAATAAAAATAATCCAGTCGTAGAGATTAGAGCTGAAAACTGCCTACAAGCAGCACTCGTTCACGAGTATGACGGATGAGACACCCATAACTACGAAGGTTTTAATACATTTATGAGTTCTATAAGTATTTAATAGATTATTTACAAGAGTTTTTAGAATGTATGTTTTTTTATTTTTTCTCGCAAAAACTTGGAATTCTTTCTTCGATCAAATTTGAATTGACTCACAGGAGACATTGTATTTGAAATTACATGAACAAAACCGCAGGGTATAATTGGTGATCTATAATTTTCAGTTATCGCCAACGATCATAGTAACACGTCGTGCATATGCGTAGTTTTTTTGACTCATGGCAATTGCAACGGTGAATTGTATGCTGCGGACAGGCCATTCTCACCAAAAATTGTGATGTCACTATTTGAGAATGTGAAACTGGCTACTATTCCGAAATTGTTTATTATACAGGTATGTAATCAAATGTAATCGAAAATGATTTAGTCATTTTAGCTGCCTATGTAACTTATATTAGACGCCTAAGTTTTTATATTAACACTAGCTGTCCCGGCCAACGTTGTTTTGCCATATAAAATAATAACGCTATAAAAAAATAGGGATTGGTTATAGAAGGCTGAAAATTTAGGGTTGCATGTAATTTTTAATGTGACATAATATAAAAAAATTGCCAAAAGAGAAAAAAATTTTTTTGGTATGAGCCACCCTTAACGCTTTGCGGTATAAAAATTAGTTATAAACCTATTCTCAGATCTACTGAATATATATATAAAATTTCATCAAAATCGGTCAAGCCGTTTTGGAGGAGTATAAACACAAAACCTGTGACACGAGAATTTTAATATATTAGATTTTCATTTCATTATTTTCATTATACAGATTTAATTGAAAAGAACTGGCAACAAACTAAACTTAAATACATTTATTTATTACGAAATAGACTGTAAAAACAAACACATACTTTGTAAAACCTCCTCTGCATGAGACCACAGTCCCGCCTATTTTAGCCTCTATGCGGCTTCTGAACTTGTGTTTATAGGATTAAATTAGGCAGTACAATTACAAGACAAGGCATAAAATCTTAGTCTTGTGGAATGGCAACGCATTAGTGGTATAATATCTGACACATGATAACGTGATGTCCGTAATGATGTTCATATATCGCTGATTAAATGACAAAGGACCACAACGCAAAAACAAAATGGTATCTAAATCGTTATATTTTTTATTATTCCCTTCCCTTCAACTAAAATATAGCTTACAAAGCAAACTGCTTGGCGCGGCTGAAATAGGTGCGATTGAGGTACCCATGCAGACAAAGTCTACAAGATATTAAAAGACATGGTATGAGGTTGTTATCATTTTTTTTATCTTCAACAAATAAAGAACAATGAATGAAGAAAGAGTTCGTTTTTCTTGGTATATTATCAAAATATTTAATGATTTTGGATTATTTTTATTTATACCTGAAAGACAACTATAATCTCTGATAGCAGTTGATAAATCCAGTCCAGTCCATACCAAATATTTCTTTTGTTACTACTTCCGGAAGCTACGTCTTAAGTGTTGCCACTGTATAGAGAACTTCTATTACTACATATATAAAATCTACTTGTAGACAATACAGAGTAATATTTTAAATGCGTAAGTCCGTGTGTGTGTAATATTTTCACTATAATTCTGTAAATCGACGTTCTACTAATATCTTTCAATTATTTTTATTATACATATATTTCCATGTAATTCAGGCTAAATATATTGTGATTTTATTTAAAACAAGAACAAATTTGTACCCTTATTTTTATGTAAATAACGTTTTGAGTCAAATTAACTATACAACTTATTATGGCCTTCACCAGGCGATAGGGGGCGAGTGCTGATGGCACTCCAAACTCGTGGAAGGACTTATGGAGCAGCTGAAGGCCAACTCCTTCCTGACGGATACGACTTTAGTCTGAGGGCACCACTAGGGGTTTGAACCTCGGCTCAGGCCGTCGTAACCTGTCGGACAGATGCGACTTTAATCTGAGTGGTGCCCTTAGGACTCCCTGCTGCTAGGTTTCGAACTTCGGCTCAGGCCGTTGTAATTTCGATCCCTATTTGAATTGGACGGGAATCGATCGGAGAACTTTCTAACAATATTTAATACTCAATAATATTTGACAAATTCATAATAATTTTAATCCAATGTTTATGATCGCACTTAGGCCTGCAGAGGTGAAGATGTAGATGCCGGCACTTACGTGTCAACTGATACTACGGTATTCACCGATTTACATATTCCAACGCACATTGACTTTCTAACGCTATATGCAAGTGTTGAAGGTAAACTTATACTTTCTTTAGACATATTTTCATTTAGATAAGAATTTTTATTTGTATCTTAGTACACACATACTGGCTTAATTACAAAGTGAATACAATACAGACTATTTAAACAAATGCAATACTATATGGGTAAACCTGCAGTGTGCTACAGCAATACAAACTAGTATATAGCTCAGTGTGGAGAATCACTCAAGTAGCAAAACATGATTGATGATTTTCAGCTACCACCTCGACGGTGAATGTTCGTTTTTTATTTTATTTGTAAATAGTAATTTAAAAATAAAATAAAAAACGAACGAAACAATATAAAATAAATAAATGATAAAGAAACTTGAAGTTAAACTTACAGATTACCGGAATTTTATAAATTCCGAGGTACCTTAATTTAATTTGAGATATATTTGAATACTATTTATTACAAAACATTTTTTTTGACAATTAATAAGACATTAAACAATTAAATATTACTCCCGAGCTAAGCACAGCTTGTGTTACGACTACTAGACCGTTGTTATATGTAAATTATATATAGTACTTTTTTTTTGTAAATACATACATAATATACAATGAAAAAACCCAGACCGACATAAACAATTATACTCATGAATATAAATATTTGTAGTTATATATTAACATGTTTTATTCGTGACACCCCTGGTGTGTCAGGAGCCCACAGGCTACAGTAACCGTTTACTATCAGATGGGCCGTATGCTTACTTTTCACTATAGTTGTATAAGGAAAAATGAACGCTCTAAATGTTTTAAATATGTGTAATACAAATATACCACCTCAGTGCCTACAAGTGCAGCACACGGTCCCTGCTTCAATTCCCATGTATTGCAAATGCAAATTTTGTATACGTGAGTGTTATTTTTCTTGTGTTTTTTTCTCTTATTTCTCATTTTCTATTGGTCTGGCTATTTTCTATCTATATTATATAAAATATGTTTAAGGACGTCCGTCAATTGACTAGTACCTATTGTACAAACTGTGACAAACTGTGCTTAGTTTGGAGATTTGAGGATATGAGTTGTCCAAGTTATTTTTTAATGAAAGATTTTTATATTTATATTTTAGGAATAGTGGCATTCAGAGACAAAGAAGGTTCATGGATGATACAGGAACTGTGTAATGTCATCGAGAAATATTATAAGGAATATGATATCCTTCATTTGATCACATTGGCGAACAAAGCTGTGGCATTCGAACGTACTGCAGTCAACAAACTGAATTTAAATATAGATCAGAAGAAACAGACACTGGAAACTAAATTTACTCTGACGAAAATCCTGAAATTAGCATGATCTTTTATTAAATTTTAAGAACATTATTAATAGCAGAGCTCATGACATAATTCGTATTTGATAAATAGTTTGTAAGTTTCTAATTTGTAATCGAAATGGAATAATATATTTTAGTACCACTTACAACAATACATTACTGAAAACTATATCTAAATCGGTTACGTTCATAAGCGGCTTAAATGTCCTATATGAATGGATAGATAGATACAATTTTTATTTACGTTAAAGGCACTATAATATTAACAATAAAAAGTAGAAACACAATTACATACAGATAAAATACAAAACAGTTACAAAATAAAATAAACGGTGTGTGTGTATAGCCCATACGCAAAAAGGGTGATTTTTCAGACACTGCCCAGAGACATACTAGTGCTAATTGATGGTTTGTATTCACACACTTAAACTTAAAAATGTAAAGTAATAATAAAATTATTTAAAAGAGCAACAAGCAAGTTTCTTGCTCGTTCTTCTTGTGATGAGACAGAAAAAAATGTAATAACTATTCAAAAGTGCTTTAATGTAAGTTTATTTGAATAAATGATTTCTATTCTATACGTAAGGGCGCATGTAACAAGCCACCACATCTAAGCAGCCCTATTACATTATCATTAATAGTAATAATAATAATAAAAATAAATAAATAAATAATTTTTGATTAGACTTTATTCAAAAGTTTCTGAATTTTTTATAGATTATAATGGTTCACCCGCCTGTGCTAATGGTTTTTACTGGGGAAGCACCAGTGGAGGATGATAAGATGAGCATGAGGTCAGGTCAATGTGCTCGTGCTATTAGCTCGTAGTGGTATTCATCATAAATTTATCACGATGGTTTCCAGGGAGAACCACATGGAGGTTAACCTGATATCGTACATTGCTAATAATGGGGTTATTATTTATTAATTAGTCCACATTACTCACTATCCCCTTAAAGTTCCCCAATAAGTGTAATAAGGTCTCTTGTATCTTTTATGTACTGACAACGATCAGTTATATTTTTTAATATATACCTGTAGATTATAAAATAAAATTGACTAGTGCCTCGACCCGACCTCGCCCTTATGCTTTTTAATTTTGTGGCTGATATGTATATGTTTTTAATAACTTAATTTAATTTACGTATTATTTATTTATGTACTTAGTTTCATAATGTAACACTTTATATATATATATATATATTGTCATACTAGTTTGAATACCAATAATTAACATAATACATTTTTATACTACAAATTATTTCTTTGTTATATTATAGTTTTACAATTACAAAATAAACAATAAACTCGACTTTCTCTCTTCCCCTCTGCTTCCTGTGTTCAGCGGGGTCCATAATTGATATGCTGAATGTTGTTAAACCTAACAACTGTAACATAAAGTAAGATACTCAGCTACTTTTACACCTAGTGTTGATTATTCGGCAGCAGTTGCAGTTTTTACTGTCCCACCACAGTCACTGTTGGTCGTCGAATAGTCAACAATAGGCTTCTAAGAACTGCTGGACTGCGGTAAAATATTGCGACCTGGCGATATCAGCACCAAAAGCGAATGGAGAACATCCTAGAGTTTTTATATATCGGTTATATATAGGACTTTCACAAGAAACTGAATATTTGTAATCTCACACATGCTAGTGGTAGCGGATTTAAACACAATAATAAAAATGCATTAGGTAATGAAATTTACAATGCCTCCCATCATATTAGTTAACATCTTAGCAGTCCTGACTGTATATTATACATTTATATTATTATTCATTACACCTCCCGATCATCAACGGATGAATCGAGGCATTCAGCACCACAGGCGGTATCAGGGGATCCCTAGATTGGCTCAACCTGCACCGATTTTACCGAAACCAAACTTACCCGAGATATTTTATCTTACCTTAATTATTATGTACGTTGTTTATAATATGTATGTATGCAGTTGATATAAGTGTATCTAGTTTAATATATGACTATTACTATTTACATACATTTTAATTCATATTACGTTGATAATTAACAATAATCTCAGAACAATTCACACTGCGCCATCTAGTCCCAAATTAAGCTACTTAAAGCTTGTGTTTACACTAGATAACTGATAAATACATAGATTTTTTTGCATAAATACATATATGTATTTTATATATAGACAACACCCAGACCGCAAAAAGAACTCATGAATACAAATATTTGCGCCGTGCGAAGAATCGAACCCGCGACCATCCGAAGTAAGGTGGTGTGCTAAACCACTAGACCACCGACGCTGCTTTTATCATCATTGTATGTTTGTTATTTTTATTTCAATCCGTTTCCCTAAGGTGTCCTTGAAAAGATTGCTTTTAGCAATGAGGCCGCCATAATGTAACTATATAGATATGTTCTTTAATATATTATTTATGTAATTTCTTTACTGTATGTACAAAGTAATCTCTATCTGTAATAACAATTGATTATCTTTTATAAACTCTCTTTGTTTAGGTTACTTACGGGGACTTTTTTTAAATTTAATATTATATTATTTATTTATATAGGTGATGTCATTCTGATTCCTATAAATTTTGACAATATTTTATCTTATCCTTTAATCGAATTGTAGGTAGGAAAAATTCTAACTTACAGTTATTTAAAGAGTGAATCAGGCACAATGTAGCCTAACATTGTTAAATATACTTCCACTAATCGCATATATACCAAGTAAGTAATAATATAACTTCACGGACATTACCCCAGGTAGGGCAGTCAGAGGTGGTGTCAATTAACGTTGTGGTGAACATAATACTTCAAATACTCATAAGTCGCTGGGTATATTAGTATGGAACATGACGGGAGGCTGTCCCATCCGATAGATCCCGTGTCTAATTCAAATGGGGATCGATATTACGGCGGCCTGATCCGAGGTTCGAACCCCCTAGTGGTGCCCTCAGACTAACGTCGTATCCGTCAGGCGGGAGTTGGCCTTCAGCCACTCCATAAGTCCTTCTGCGGGTTTGGATCATCTGCACTCGCACCCTATCGTCCGGTTTAGCTGCGGCTAATAGCATTGGAGTAGTCCAAACTTAGTCGCCGGTCACTAGTGAGTATATTATAAGTGGTACTAAGTAATATATTTATAAATTCTCTCTCTTTTTCTTTTCTTTCTCTCTCGGTTTTTTACATTCTGAGTCGTCGGTGCGGTTTTTTTTTTATACTACGATGGTGGCAAAGATGCATACGGCCCAACTGATGGTAAGCGAATATTATAGAATGGTGTCTCGTTTATTAAGTATCAATATTGAAATTAAAGAAAAACATGTATATATATAATTACTTCATAACGTTAATAATGTTGTGTTTTGAATTTTTGTGAATATATTTATATATATTACCCGCGACGTTCGCGTAATAATGAAAAAATATTTAACTCAATTAACACAATATAAGTCAAATAAATAAGTTTCATCATTTTAGCTTAAAAAATGATAAAAAATAAAAATAAATATTTAATCAATAGGCTAAAAAATAAATTTCAAGCTTCTAGCTTTAAACATAACGATACATCTATATGACCTTGGATCTACCCTTTCAATCCTCTTGTAACCCTTTTTCACATTAAAAAGTAACCTATGTCCTTTCTTAGGATCTAGTCTATCTATGTCTGTTTCAAATTTCAATTTAAATCGGTTCAGTATTTTTGGCGTGTAAGCGAGACAAACAGACAAAGTTACTTTCACATTTATAATATCAGTAAGGTATTTAATAAACTATCTCTAAAAAGACAAAGAAAAACGTTTAATCGTTCTAGCTTCCACAACCACACAAACAGCAAATTTCCACAATAACTTTCATTCCCTATTTTATTTTACTACCCCCCCTCCCCCGAAGAGTAAAAATTTTACAAACATTGAATGTCATATTTATTGATATTTAAACAACAGCCTAAAAATGAGTCTCAAACTTCTAGTTTTAAAAAATGACGATTCTTCCATACAGCCCACCATTCCAACCCCCTTACAATCCATTTTTCACATTCAAAAGTACCCTATATTCTTTGTCCGGGTGTAAATCTACCCCAAAAGAACCAATGAAAATAGTTTTATCGTTCTAGTTTCAAAAATTACGAATTTACATAATAACTATCATCCCCTAGTTTATTTTACATCCTTAAGGATAATTTTTATACAAACAATGAATGGCATATTTATTTATATTTAATCAACAGGCGCAAAAATAAGTTTGAAGCTACTAGCTTCAAAAATGATGAATTTACATAAAAACTTTCATACCCTATTTTATTTTTCCCCCTTAAGAGTAACATTTTTACAAACTTTGATGGCCTATTTATTTATATTTAATCAACAGCCTCAAAAATAAGTTTCAAGCTTCTAGCTTCAAAAATGACGATTTTACATAAAAACTTGCATCTCCTATTTTATTTTACCCCCTTAAGGGTATTTTTTTTTACAAACAATGAATGTCATATGTGTTTATATTTAATCAACAGTCTAAACAATAAGTTTCAAGCTTCTAGCTTCAAATATGACGTGTTTACATAAAAACTTGCATCCCCTATTTTATTTTTAATGGTATTTTTTTTACAAACAATGAATGTCATATGTATTTATATTTAATCAACAGTCTCAGCAATAAGTTTCAAGCTTCTAGCTTCAAAAATGATGATACTTCCATAGAACGTTTCACCCCCCTTTTAACCCCTTACAACCCTTTTTTCGCATTAAAAAGTAGCCTATGTCCGTTCTCAGGGTCTAGACTATCTGTATAACAAATTTTATTTAAATCGGTGCAGCAGTTTTGGCGTGAAAGCGAGATAGACAGACAGACAGAGTTACTTTCGCATTTATAATATTAGTTTTTGTCCCAGCACAAAAATATATTTTTATCGTTTCCGTACAAATAGTAATTTTACAGTATTAATCTACAAACCAACATTTTGTTTCTTACAATCAGCTAAATAATTTAAATAGTTTCATAATGTATGACACAATGAAAAGGTCATTTATTTTATAAAAAAGACAGTTAGTTTTTATTTTAGTAAAAAATAAGAAAATTCTATTTTGATACAACAACCATATATTTATTAATACCTATATTTTATTAATTTTGTGTTAATGCTTTTTAAATAAACACCCACACATTATTTCTGTATAACCTACAAAAATGGGTAAATAATTTAATTTCGGATAATGCCACACCACAACATTCTTTAAAAAATGTAAATAATAAAATGTGAAGAAATTGTGATTGTTATTAAGTTTTTTTTTAATAAGTTCGTCAGAACAGAGAAACAACATTTGACATTGACTTTAATTTTTGTAATTTATATTGTAAAACTTTAAGTTGGGCTAAACAGGACTTGTATCCAGAGCCGTAAAACAAATTAATAAAAAAAAAAATCGCCAAATTTGTCTCGCAATCGGCCAATTTCAGGTTTAAAGAAAAAACACATACACACGTTATACGATTTTATCATAAAAAGTGTCAAAAAATCATATTTTCGCTAAACGTCAACGTCGTGTTTCCGGCAAGATCTTTCGTTTTACATTATGTTGTCTGTGGTTTTGTTCTCTGTGATGGATACCTTATTGGCGCAAACGCACGCGATGTGTTGATTGGTTGTTAGCTAGTGAAATGAAAAGATGACGAATAAGTATTCAACCGCATAAAGATAACCTTGTATTTCCATTTTGAACCCCTTACAACCCTTTTTACGCATTAAAAAGTAGCCTATGTCCTTCCTCGGCGTCTAGACTATCTGCGTACTAAATTTCATTTAAATCGGTTCAGTAGTTTTGGCGTGAAAGCGAGACAGACAGACAGACAGACAGAGTTACTTTCGCATTTATAATATTAGTAAGGATGTATATATAAGTATAATACTTATACTGTATATTAACACAAAAATATTTTATTTGTTTATGCTGGCGGGTTATTAGTGGAGGATGATAAGATGAGCGTTAGGCCATCACTGGCCTTGAGTGAGCCAATTGTGACCAATTCACCAGCAACTTATCACGATGGTTTCCAGGGGAAACAGCGCAGCGTGGAGATGAATCTGACATGGTACATTGCTGGCAATGGGGACATCCACACTATTATTATTGCTTTATTTCATTCATCTATTGCATTTAAAAATTGAGCAATATAGGCGAGCTTAATGTCAAATGGCATTTTCTACCAGCTAACCAATAGGATGGATGATGGATGGGAATGGAAAAACCTATAACATTACTGACTATCCTCTTGCAGTCACCACAGTCTCATGCTGTTGGCCGCAGCTGGCCTTTGCAGGTTACCCGGGCGATAGGGGGCGAGTGCAGATGGCACTCCAAACCCGCGGCTGCTGGCGGCTAAGGCCAACACCTGCCTGACGGATACGACTTTAGTCTGAGGGCACCACTAGGGGTTCAAACCTCGGCTCAGGCCGTCGTAATATCGATCCCTGTTTGAATTGGACGGGGGATCGATCGGAAGGGCGACCGGGGGCGCCGGTTAGGCTATGGTGCCGGTCATTATATATTGTGTGAAGGGGATTGTTAGTAATGGGACTCTTAACCCCATTGCTAGCAATGTACCGTGTGATGTTGACCTCCACGCGGTTCTCCCTGAAAACCGTGATATGATAAATTCCTGATTAATATGTCAAGATGGGTCATGACTCATGACTGGCAACTGACAACTAACCTCATGTTTATCGCTAACACGTATACTGTTAGCACAGGGTGCACCATTCTATGAACGTCCATGAAAAGAAAAATATATATTACGTTATTTGCTCGAACCAGTTAGCAGTAATTTTCTTATCAATTATATAGAGTGTATAAGGGCTCAGTCAGACGAACTACCACCGCACTAAAACCAGTCTATCTAAATCTTATGACGTTTTAAGACTTAAGGATATGATACTCATCTAATCTTTTATATACATATATTGGATATATTTATAAAAATAAAAAGTATTTTACTTTGAAATGGAACATGAATCAACTGGCTTAACGAATCGTATTGAAATAGATGCATTAGCATTTAATATTTTCTTTTTATACTTAACAAAAACGTTTTTAAAACTTGGTATTAAGTTCGTATTGTCATTTCACATCAATTTAAAGTTGTTGAAATATTACTAACATATAAACATTGCCGGATAAACCAATTTGAATACTTATGCAGTGTTAATATATGTATCGTTTTAACACAGCAAGGTCATAGAATAGGTTTCTTCAATTCTTGACTGCTTATCTAAATTCCAATAGTTGATAAATCGAAAATCATTCCAAAATAAACTTGCCTGCTTTAAATAAGTCTCAGATTGCATTTGTCTAAAGTAAAACGTTGGAAATTTAATAACGCATATACTCACACGTGCTGAGGACGTGCTTGTTTACATTATTTTGCTGCGGTGAATGACTACCTCGTGTGATCGTGCCCTAATAACTTGATTAGATATCAGTCATGGATCGATAAATATATATATAAATAAATCGACCTGAGCAACACATACTATTTAATTGTTGTGCGTTTTAAATGAAAGTGCTGGGCAATATATTGAGAATTAAATAAGAAGAAAATTATATAAAAATGTCGGGCGCAGACGCATCAACTTTTAATAAACTTCAACCAAATTCTAGGTAACTATATATTCTCTTGGTATACATATTTAGCATTGCACCCGTGCGAAGCCGGGGCGGATCGCTAGTTATATGTATAAAAGACGTAAAACAATACCATTAGGTCATATATATGATTTTAAGCAATACAGCATAATTTTTTATCGAATTAAGGCCCTTTACAGCAAATAATTTAAATGAATGTTTCCGGAGATACTTCAGATTTAAAATGCATATATATATATATATATAAGACGTAAAACAATACCATCACGATAACATCCTACATATAACTAGCGACCAGCCTAGCATTCGCACCGGTGCGGTGCAATGCTATATATGTACCTACCTATTATAGAATGTCCTTATAAACAACGTTTACAGTTTTTTTTTTTTGTCCGACCCGACAACACTATAGCCTTCTTCGACGAAGACAAGGCTGAGTGTCTAGCGTCCAACTTAGAAGCCCAATGCTCCCCCAGCACGCTCCCAGTCGAGGCAGGTCATCTCGAGAAGATAGACACCGAAGTCGAACGCATCGCGTCCACCCCGCCCACCGAATCCCTCTCACCAGTCACGCTTGATGAGGTCAAAACGCTAGTTAAACAACTACCTATCAAAAAATCACCCGGCTCAGACGGCATATATATATATATATACTTTTGTTATTACTCGTCGCTATTTTTAACGCGGCGCTGTCCAACGCTATATTTCCAGACAGCTGGAAAGAAGCCGTGGTCATTGGCATCCCCAAGCCCGGTAAAAATAAATCCGACCCGTCCAGTTATCGTCCTATCAGCCTCCTCAAGGCTATAGGCAAGCTGTACGAGCGAATCCTCCTCGCCCGCCTAAAGGAGTTTATATACTCCAAAGGCCTGCTCATCAATGAGCAGTTTGGCTTCCGAGCCAAACACTCATGCGTCCATCAAGTGCACCGCATCACGGAGCACATTCACAAAAACACTCTGTACTTCGCCACCAAGTCCCCCAAAGGCGGTACAGGCGTCCTATTTTTCGATGTGGCTAAGGCTTTCGATAAAGTCTGGCACAACGGCTTGATTTACAAGCTTCATCAGTTAGGTGTCCCCGACAGGCTAGTACTCATTGTACGAGATTTCCTGTCGAATCGCTCTTATCGCTACCGTATAAACGGAGCGTTATCCGACCCGCACCCCATACGATCAGGGCGCCGTCCTCTCTCCGATGCTCTACTCGTTGTACACCAACGACATCCCCAAATTCTATAAAAGTCGAAATATCGCTGTTTGCCGATGACACGGCTCTCTTTACATCCGCCAAGTCCCGTGCGACAATAGCCAGACGGCTTCAGAAAGCCGTAACGATACTGGGCGAATGGTTCCGTCGGTGGCGCATAGAAGTCAATCCCGAAAAAAGTGCAGCAGTGTACTTTAGCAGGGAATTCGACTCTATGAATCACCCGATCGAACTATTCGGCCAAAACATCCCGTGGGTTTCGAAAACGAAATATCTCGGCGTCACCCTAGATAGGAAACTAACGTTTCGTCCTCACATCAAGCGTGTCCGCGACCGAGCCGCCTTTATACTAGGGCGACTCTATCCTTTTATTAACAAGCACAGTAAAATGTCGCTTCGCAACAAGCTGACATTATACAAGGCTTGCATCCGTCCCATCATGACCTACGCTAGTCCCGTATTCGCCCACATACCCTACTGCTTAATCAACAGACTGCAGGTCATTCAGAATAGGTTTCTGCGTCGAGCCACCGGTGCGCCGTGGTTCGTTCGCAGCGTAGATCTCCACCGCGATCTTAATCTGCCCTCCATCAAGCAGTTTATGAAGGAAGCGTCTCGACGCTACTTCGACTCTGCCCAATCCCACCCTAATCCGCTTATAGTCAGTGCGGTCGACTACGCACCGAGGAGTAATATCCGACATACGCGACAACGTCGCCCGAGGCACGTTCTCATTGACCCCGACGACCCCATAACGGCAGGTAACCTCCCCACGGGCCCACCCGTTCCACCCCGACCACACTTTTACACACACACACGACACCGTCCTCGACGGCGATGACGACGACGTTACAGGCACAATATCGCGCATTCAACCGGGCGCCTGCGCGCGCCCGGGCGCTCCACACCGGCGCCCCCGGGCGCCCCTCCGATCGATCCCCCGTCCAATTCAAACGGGGATCGAAATTACGACGGCCTGAGCCGAGGTTCGAACCCCTAGTGGTGCCCTCAGACTAAAGTCGTATCCGTCGGGCAGGAGTTGGCCTTCAGCCGCTCCATAAGTCCTTCCGCGGGTTTGGAGTGCCATCTGCACTCGCCCCATAACGTCCGGTGAAGCTGTAAAGGCCAGCTACGGCCAACAGCATTAGAGTAGTCCGAAAAAAAAAAAAAAAAAAAAAAAAAAAAAAAAAAAAAAAAAAAAAAAAAAAAAAAAAAAAAAAAAAAAAATTTTGACAAGAATTTTTGAAACATTAGACAGTACAAAAATGTTTAGTTTAGCGCCGGCCGGTACCGCCACACCGCTATGTCCCTTCATTTTAAATCTGTAATATCTCCGGAAATATTCATTTAAAATACATATTGCAACGGGCCATATTGATCTATATTAAATGGACAATGTATTTAAAGTACTCATTTCGATAAAAAATAATGTTGTATTGCTTAAAATCACTTCCTAAATAAGCCTTTTTTCCTATAAAATGTAAAAAAGGATAAAAAATGGCTATTGTGGGTTATCCTTAATAGATAGACATATGACACCGCAGACTTTTTTTATTGACCTTCTTAAAGTGTACAATACTATGTACATTATTTTGATTTATCTCGTGAGGGTCTGCCAGCGTTTGCAATGTAAGTACTAAATAAAATGTGTTTATTTACGACATCACATTAGAAACCTCTAAATATATCAGTGTTTCTTTACAATTTTATGCATGTATTATATATATAAATCTTCCTCTCGAATCACTCTATCTATTAAAAAAACCGTTTCAAAATCCGTTTCATAATTTTAAACATTTAAGCATATGTAGGGACGGACAGATAGCGACAGCGACTTCGTTTTATACTATGTAGTGATGAATGTGCTGTAAATTTATTTATACCTACTAAACGATAGTGTAGATAAATTAATTTAATTTTCAGTACAACAACTTCTCTTCGATATAAATTATATTATTGACTATACGTAGTTGAGTAATAAATGTTTGTCTTGACGGCCTCGGTGGTCTAGCCATCTAGAACCAAATTAAGCTATCTAAAGCTTGTGTTATGGGTACTAGACAACTGATACAAATACATAGATATCTCATTTTTCGTAAATACATACATATTATACATAGAAAATACCTAGACTGATACAATCATACTCAAGACTACAAATGTTTGTACCGTGCATGGAATCGAACCCGCGACCATCAGAAGTAAGGCAGTGTGCGAAGCTGCTAGACCATTGAGACCGTCATGTAATTTATTATCAACTGGCTACTCGTCCCGGATTCGTCTGGGTGTACATGCATTATACATAAAAACCTTGCTTGAATCACTCTATCTATTAAAAAAAGCGCTTCAAAATCTGTTGCGTAGTTTTAAAGATTTAAGCATACATAGGACGGACAGACAGCAACAGCGACTTTGTTTTATACTATGTAGTGATGATGAACTTCCCTTCAGACCTTCAGATTCAGAAGAAGAAAAAAATGTAATATATCGACCTGGTTTCGACCCGTATAACCTGTACTATGATATGTCTGGGAGCAAATACTTACTCATATTCAACCACTACAAATTTCAAGATACACATTATTTCCGGTAAGAATCTTTTAATATTTGGTGCCGATTATTTATTTATATAGTTAAATAATTAAATATGTTTGGGACGAAGTGCTTACTTATATTCTATCAATAAAATATCAATCTACAGAATTTAGTTTTAATTATTTATATAATTTTTATTAAATTATATCACAATTTCACCCACTCAACACTTCCTTTGCCACGCTCTACTAGGTTGACTGGAAGAGATCTCATTTATAGATAAGTTCTCCTTTGTTAACATTACTTCTAATTAATGTACTTAAAAATGTATTTAAGTTAATAAGGAATGTATAATGATGTATATTTTATGCCGAAATATTGAGTACTCAATAAAAATAAATAAAATGTGGTAAGGTCCCGTGATTTTACCTAATTGTACGTATAGATGATATAAACCTACTGTAATACGTTTTCAGACACACACCCGCTAATCGGGAAGGTACAGATAAAGATGTTGCTACACTGACCAAAGTATTCGAAGATAGACGGTTCAAGGTGACCCCACACGATGATCTAACTTACGATGAAATGAAAGCTACTGTTGAGAATTGTATGTATCTTTATTTCTATATAAAATAGTTTCTTTTTTCGGACTACTCTAATGCTGTTGGCCGCAGCTGGCCTTTACAGCTTCACCGGACGTTAGGGGGCGAGTGCAGATGGCACTCCAAACCCGCGGAAGGACTTATGGAGCGGCTGAAGGCCAACTCCTGCCTGACGGATACGACATTAGTCTGAGGGCACCACTAGGGGTTCGAACCTCGGCTCAGGCCGTCGTAATTTCGATCCCCGTTTGAATTGGACGGGGGATCGATCAGAGGGGCACCCGGGGGCGCGCAGGCGCCCGGTTGAATGCGCGATAATGTGTGTTTGAGGTCGTCGTCTTCGCCGGCGAGGACGGTGTCGTGTGTGTGTGTAAAAGTGTGGTCGGGGTGGAACGGGTGGGCCCGTGGGGAGGTTACCTGCCGTTATGGGGTCGTCGGGGTCAATGAGAACGTGCCTCGGGCGACGTTGTCGCGTATGTCGGATATAACTCCGCGGTGCGTAGTCGACCGCACTGACTATACAAAGTAGTTGTTGTAATTTGGCTTTATATATTAGACCGGTGTTTCCCAATTAGGGGTACGCGAAGTTGCATAAAAGGGGTACGTGCGGTTATCAGTAAAACAAACATACACACGCACTCACATACATTCACATTTATATATTAGTGTCATTGCTACACAATAAGGGGTACGCAAGGTTTGAGGTCTCGTTTGAAGTGGTACGCAGCAAAAACTATTTGGGAACCACTGTACTAGACGAAACTTTCATCGTCACTCACATGTTCCCAGATTAGTTTTTGAGACAAAAAATATTGCCTATGGCCATCCTAATAATAATCCAAGTCAAGTTTCATTACGATCCGTTAAGAGACGACCTTCTTAGCATTCACAGTGCGGGTATCTGGTCCATTTGGCAGAGAGGGAAACTTCAAGCAGTACCCGGGACTTGGGACTCGGATGTAGATTTATTTTGCCGACGTACGACGTTAACCAACTTTCGCGTATATAATATTAATAATATGCTTATAAAAAAATATATTTTTAGTCATAGCCCATGATCACGGCAGTACGTCGTGCATATGCGTAGCAATTTTGTCACATGGGGACAAAAATGGTCACATTTATGCTGCGGATAAGCCTTACTCTTTGCAAAAATTTATGTCACAATTTGAGAATCCGAAGTTGGCAACTATACCTAGATTATTTTTTATTCAGGTATGTAATATTTTTTTTATTATTTTTAAGATATACATCGATGGTCTCAGTGGTCTAGCGGTTTAACTCACCACCTTACTTCTGATGGTAACAGGTTCGATTCCTCGCACTGTACAAACGCTTGTATTTCATATTTATTAATTAATTTATTAATTATTTTTATAGTTGGCTGGGGATTTTGATGAAATTTTATATGTATATTCAGTAGGTCTGAAAATAGGTTTACAACAAATTTGTATACCCTTAAGTGTTAAGGGTGGCTCACCCTAAATTTTTGTTAATTTTTCGAGATTTTTTTTATTTTTATTTTATTATTATTTTGTATTGAAAAATACATACAATCCTAAATTTTCACCCTTCTATCACTAGCCCCTATTTTTTTAATACTGATTTTAATTTATAAGGCAAAACAACGTTTGCAAGGTCAGCTAGTTGATTATATAATACATACATGAAATTTGTGACGATTGATAAAAATATCTATTTATTGCAACTGTCTGTTTATTTTTTAGGCTTGTAGAGGTGGTGAAATTGATAAAGGAAATTTCGTGTCTACTGATAGTCAAGCAAACAAAAAATATCATGTTCCATCTCAGATCGACTTTCTAACGCTGTATCCTACAGTTGAGGGTAAATAAGTTAATACCTATTCATAATAATAAATCTATTTAAGCCAACAATAGTACAGTTATACAATTCATTCATTCATAATAGACAATGCACATATCATTGCAAGAACGAAACGAACAAAATTGTAATGTCTAACACATTACAATTTGAAATTTCTCTTTTTATATTATTTCACGTAATTGATCTAGAATGTTCTTATGAAATCAAACAAAAATTATCTCCATTTGTCTGGGTCTATTGCAGGCACTTATGATAGTGATATGTCAAATCTACTCTACTCGCTGATCTGTAATAGTTATTCTCTCATCTGGGAATTCTTTTGTGGACTCCCGCGATATGGATCCCCTAGTGCGGGGTCCAATGTATAATCAGCTTTATTTTTTTTTGTACGTTTTATAATAAGTAAAAATAAATAAATAATTTAAGAGTTACGCTCTTGCCGGCGGAGCTCTTGCTTCGACGTCTGTTTGTAGTGAAATAAGGAAAAAAAATATTCTAAATATATAAGCTCTTTCACTCAACACTAGCATCACAAGCTCTCAATACAAATAATTATTAATATAATTCTATCAAATACTTTTTGATATTCGTTGTCTATCTACTATATATACTTACATGTAATTGTAACTGTTTGTACCAAAATAATGAAACTAATAATAATAACCAGATATAACACTACATGATTAGAAAAATAAAATAGTTTACCTTATAGATATTGCAATACCAAATACACATAATCTTCTATCTACACATACAGAAAAAAAATACTAAGTATACTGATCTAGCAATAGAATTAAAACTGCAATGGCAGGTAGAAACAGTAAAAACTCTCCCAATTATTATTTCGTCCACAGGTGTCATTCCAACAGCCTTACACTCTAGCCTCAAAATATTACCGCTTCATCCACTTACATTCATACTTCTCCAAAAAGCTGTAATTCTAAACACCTGTAGAATAGTCTGCAAATTTTTGTCATAATAATAATTTCTTTTATAATTGTCATTGTTTGGTGATATTCACCCGCAATGACAAGTTTAACACCCTATCAAAGGGAGATATATAATATATATATATATAAAAACAACAATAATAATAGTGTGACTTCACTCATCGATGTCCTCTGAATATGCTTTTGAACGTTTCATTTCTATTTCAGGCCTGGTTTCGTTTAGAGACGACGGCTCATGGATGATTCAAGCAATTTGTTACGTAATATCTAAGTATTATGAACACTTCGATATCCTTCAGTTGATTACATTGGCCAACAATTATGTAGCATTCGGAAGATGTTCAAACAACCCTGATAATGAGGAAATACACAATAAGAAACAGACACTTGAAGCGACTTTCACTTTGACTAAATTGTTGAAATTCGAATAATAAGTGGATAACTCATACAGAGCCATAAGCCATAATAATAATAAGTGAATGTTTATTGATATGATTTGATTGAGAGCCATTTAGTTCCGAGCTTAGCAACCCTTGTGTTACGGATACTAGACTCCTGATATATATCAGTTAGAAACTGTAATCTACATGTATTTATGATTAAATACATAAATAAATCGTGTTATCCACGTATACTACGTGGATAACACGATTATTATAATGTTTGCTTTTTAGTCTTTTGTTGTCCATTACTATTCATTTCTTTATATCGTTATTGATTTCTTTATTTTTTATTTTTGTAAAACTGAATAAATAATATTCTATTTTAATAAACAAAAATAACTCCTGTATATGTTTTTATATATTATCATTTTATTTTAATTACAGTTACACATTCTATGTTATTTCAAATCAAATCAGATAAAATTGCATTTTTTATTCATCTGTTAAAATCATACGATCAGTAAAAGTAATATTTCCTGAGATTGAGTTGTGTATGTATGTTGTATACAACTCAATTTCAAGAAAGATTATAGCTAATTTCAGAAAAGGCTTAATACGGTAGCCAAGAGAAGCTCTAATATTGGGTGCTCGTATATATATTTTTTTAATAATAAAGGCTTAGTTTTTATATAAATGCTATATTAGCAGTTACAAACGATTTCCGTACTAACTTTCATCCCTTATATATACACAATATATATACAAATAATATGAAAGGGGTGAACTTTCATATTATTTTTTGAGATCAAGGTTAATTATCCATCCTCGTGATTTTATCTTTATTAAAATTAACAGTTTTTTCACTAAATGCATATGAAAGTATGTACGTTAACTACGTCTATAATTTCTTTTTTATTTCTGTCTGTCTGCTCAATTACTACAAATACTTTACCCCAAGCGACTAAAAAGAAGCGACATTATGTAATGTTTGCAGTATGCTTAAGGAGTAGATTCTCCCGCTGGGGTGGATACTCCATTCATAGATCCCACACCCAAAAAATCTGCTCATAGTTCTGGGACTGAACGCAGATAAGAAAAGAGAAAAAAAAAATCTGTCTGTTTGTTTTTGTTAATATATGGAACGGTTTGACCGTAATTGTCGTGTCTTTCACTCGAAGATAGCTAATGTTATGAGTAGTAACTTAGGCTACTTTTATTTTTTATAAGTTTTATTTTATTTATATTCTACGTGGACAAACACAATTATTATAAAACTATGGATTAATTAGGAAGAAAAAATGATTTTTTTTGTACGAAAGATCTATTCTAACGCCTAGCAACAGGGACAAAAGGAAAACAGATTAAAAAGCATAGTTTCCTCTTTCATTTATAAAATGTCTATCAATGTCTTGGCTCGGGAGACAACAAATACCCAACGCACTCTGAAATAGTGTAAATAACCAGTATATTCAAGTTTCTGGGCCAGCTGTCAGTTATATTGAAGATGCCTGATTTAGAATTGGTATTCTTTAAATAATTGCACTTACGCAGTTATTGCGTATTTTAAAACGTGTTTTTTTTTTTATATTTATCTATGATTGGTATAACATGATAATGTACTTTTTAGCCTCGATTCGATTCCTCGCACGGCACAAACATTTGTATTCATGAGTATGATTGTTTATATCTTTCTGGGTGTTTTCTATGTATAATATGTATATATTTACGAAAAAAAAATCTATACACGCATTAGCTAGCTTAATTTGGGACTAGATGGCGCTGTGTGAATTGTCCTGAGATTATTATTATTATTATCCTAAAGACGTGACATGATATTCGTTGCGTTCTTCCTGTCTCGTAATAATAAACAGGCTTAAGGCCCACCTGATGCTAAGCGCTGACTGTCGCCTATATACATGAACAGCAGTACGGAGATCTTATAGATTATAATGGAATAGTGTGCCTGCGCTAACTGTTTATGCTGGAAGGGACGGAGATCATGTTATCATATGACTCCTGTGAAACCACTCATGCGTTGCAATCTTGAAGGACTGAGATTTTATGTCTTACAAAGCAGCGCACTAGGTGACTAAAATAATTGCGACTGAAGTTTTAGTTCATCCACTCCTCACTAGATGACGTTGTTTAAAATGTTACATATCCCTATTAAGAAATTTTCACATTTCAGGACCTCTATAATTGTTTAAACAACCTCATCGTCCCTATTAAACTGACAGTTACAATTAAACCCTCAACAGCTTTCGAAATCACTGTGCCTACTTATTCATATGCAGTCGACTTTTTACTATCTATCTCTGGAACTTAACAGTTATTTTAACTTTCTTTTGTAAACAATTTTTTTGTTATCATTTGATATCCATGATGTCACTCATGCCATAGGAGGGCTACGAGGTATCATATCTTCTACAATCGAAATATACCTGTGGCGCTCTTTATATATATATAATGTATGGTTATTACTAATTACCAGTGATTAGACTAGGTAGAGCTATTTTATGTACTTACCATATTATAGAATAATATGGATATTCCCCGAATCCCAGGATTTTTTTTTTAAGTAGAAACATAATAAAAAGCTACTTACAGATATATAGAAACTTGATTCATTAAACCACATATATTTTTTTATTGTAACAATTTCTTATATTGATACAAGAATCAACAATCATTTAACATTTTCATTCTGAAGTTGTACCAGAACATACCATACAAATTATTTGTGCCCAAAAAATCGAAACATGATTAAAAAGAACGAACTATTTGTATTTAATAAAATAAAATTACCAACATGTTTAAACAATAATTTACTTATTGAAACCGGTACGTCACTCTAGTCACACCCGTGACACTACTTGTACGTGTGAGCAGGATATCACGACGAGTGTCAACAAAGAGGCAACGTCGCGCGTTTCATAAAAACTTTTGCAACGTGTTGCTGATGTAAAATTTACAACTTCGCTTGTCCGCTTATGGGCTAACAGATACCATTTTTTATACTAATTGATATGATAAAAATAATTATAATAATCGAATCCCGGAGTATTAGTTGGAATCCCGTGGATTATCCATATTAACATCAATGTTTGAGGTCAATGATCCTAAATAGCTCTACCTATTTCGATCAATGCTAATTACTTATTTGCTTTTAATAACTTGTTTATACTGAATATAAAAAATCAGATAGCATGCTATTTCCATCATAAATTACTCTTATACCTTAATGACTAGGTTTATAGTAAAACAAATGTTAAAATGTACATCTTTTTTAAATATGTTGAAATAGTAACAAAAGGAAGACTGTATAGACAAAGATATATTTCAAATTTTTAAAATTTTACAAAGATAATGACTTGTTTGTTCGCCCCGAGCGTAGTGTAGTTTTATATTGCTGTTGTAGATTGATATTGTGATAATACAACTAGTTGATGCCTGCGATTTTGTCTGCGTTGTGTTAGTAGTTCGTGTAGTGTATTTTTTATTCACTGTGCAAATTTTAGTCCCCTATTTTCATTTTATTTATCCCAGAACAACACACACAGTGTGATCTAGTCCCAAATGAAATAGAGCTTGTGCTATGAGTACTAAAATCACTCATATTTTTTGAAGTACATATGTATATAATTCATATAATATACAAAAAAGCATCCAGACCAATACATCCAATTATACTGAAGACTCTTTTTATCGTGTGAGAATCGAACCCATATCACCTTACTTTGGATGGTGGACATCCAAAGTAAGGTGATATGCTACACAGCTTCGTGGTTTGTATAAACACAAAAAAAAATAAGAAACAGATAATCAATCTGGAGCACAGATAATAAAAGATACTGCTTTGTTAAACAAAAAAAAAATAGTTTATTCAACTGTCCATGTATATAAATGGGGTGCATACAATAACTAAAACCTCAATTCAATTGCGATGGCGCCTCGATTTGTAACCAGCATACATATTATCAGTCAAACGTCTTATTTGCACATGTTCGGTATTTTTCACGCGAATCCGAAGAAAATGTAGAATATTTGACATTATATAGCGGTCGTATATCAAGAGCGTCGAGACCTATTGTGTGACAGAGCCGGCGGTCTTGACGGCCAACTGTATTCTAGGAATACGGAATGAAATATCAAGTAACGAGAGAGATTTATAGTGCATCTTTAGGTTTTTTATTTATGTATTATATGAATGTAGAGAACATTTTTGCCTCGCACATTGTGGAATCACCTTCCAGCAATGGTATTTCCGAATCGATACGATAGTGAAACCTTCAAGAAAAGAGCTTATTCCTTTTTAAAAGGCCAACAACGTACTTGCAATTCATCTGGTATTGCTCATGGGCGGCGGTAATCACTTACCATCAGGTGAATCGCATGCTCGTTTGTCCCCTGTGTTATAAAAAAAAAAGTGGTCTAGTTGTTTACTACCCTGGTTTAGATACCAGATATACTGAATACGAATCGGATCAAGGACAAAAAAATAATTAAGTCGATTTATGACAGTGACTCTGGTAATGGAAACCATGGTAATTAGATAGCTCTGGAAGCAGGTGTGGAACGGCAGTATTATAAAATAAGGGTTCCTGTGATCTCTATGTCGATGCTCTAAATTATTGAGAATTATTTGACTTGATTGATTTGAAGAGTTAGTTTAAATATGCGATCTAGACCGGTACATCAATATCGCAGGGGTAGATATTATATTCATAAGAAATTTCGACGCCTACAAGACACTGTCCTCGCCGGCGAGGACAACAACCCCAACCTTATCGTTCACCGCACTAACCGGACGTCTCAAAATACATTGCATTAGTTTAGACATAAACAAAGACACAAAGTAACAAAAACAGAGATTTAACTTTATATTATTTATAGATATATATATATATATATATATATATATATATATATATATGCGCTTATTGGCTCTTTGATGTCCAGTCAGAAATTAGCGTCAGAGTAATTTGCAACCCAACTGGCATCCTGTAACGTAATTTCGCTTGTGTTATTAATGTTTTCCACTATGGTGGTCACTCGTCATATCGTATTGGGTAATTTCATTGTGGATAGTCGGCGAAACTGACCAGTAATATGGCAGCTCACCGCTGCAAATTGAATCATGTAGGGCGATTTATATCTGACGATGGCGAAACGTAATTTGTTGCAGGATATCTAAAATATAATTTTTTAAATTAGAAATTTCATTG